TTGGCCTCCCAAAGTGCTAAGATTATAGGCATGAGGCACCGTGCCCAAACTACGAGTTAAAAAGTTTAGAAATATACTTCATGATTCCTCAGCACAGTGCCTGGCTAATAGATACCCAACAAATACTAATTACCCAAATGCTCCTCTATTTGTGTAGTCAGGGGTCAGGGTGAGCTAAGGAGCAGTGTGGGAAACCATAGTTACAGACACAGCATCTCCTCTGCCAGGACCATCAGAGCTGGAATGGGCCTTACAAACCATTCCCTCCAAACTCTTTGGTGTACAGCCAAACAATCAGAGGCCTAGAGAAGGCAAGTAGCATGGCCTGGATCTCACGGCTGGTCAAAGCCAGAGCCCTCTTCCCAGCCCAGCACCTACCATTGCGTCCCATGGCACCCAGAACACTCACAAGTGAAGCCCAAGGAAAATAACAATTTTCTCTCCTGTGTAAAGGGTTTCCTGGCCAGGTACAGTGGCTCACACCTGTAATCCCAGCACTTTGGGAGGCTGAAGCAGGCAGATAATTTGAGGTCAAGAATTCAAGACCAGCCTGGCCAACATGGTGAAACCCTGTCTGTACTAAAAATACGAAAATTAGCCAGGCGTGGTGCCGCGTGCCTGTAATTCCAGCTACTTGGGAGGCCGAGGCAGGAGAATCACTTGAACCTGGGAGACAGAGGTTGCAGTGAGCCAAGAGCGCGCCACTGCACTCCAGCCTGGGCCACAGAGTGAGACTCCATTTCACACACACACACAAAAAAGAGGTTTTCTCAGCATAACTGTACTGTCCTTGAAAGCAAAAGCAATGAAAAGCATAGACAGACTTTTGAGTATCCTTTGTGTTTTTATCCTGTGGCTTTATAAAACTCTGGAGTCATTATTCCATTGACTTTGAGTGTGTCATGTGTGTTTGGGAGAGAAGCCAGGACAGGGACAGACGAAGGCGGGAGAGAGACGGTCTGAACCCTGGTACCCCTGAGGATGGAAATTCCCCAACCCTGGGTTCAAGGCTTATCTGCCTGTTGGCCACAGAAAGCAGCTGCCAGGCAGGGAGATTTATAAGGTGACATTCCAGCACTGAGCAGTGTTGGGTAAACAGACCGAAGCCCACGATGCTGGATGTGCCTCCAGTACTTTTGTACTGGGCTCTAGAAGCTTTCCCACCACAGTGACAAATTACGCAGAAACAAAACATGAGGTGGGGCAGGGTGCAGTCGGGAGAGGCGAGAAATGTGGAAGATGGCCAGAGAGCTCAAGGCTGCGGGACCCTCCCTTAGAGCCAAAGGTTGGGACAAGTCAACACAGATTCAGAATCGCTCGGCTGCCTGAGCGCCGCCTGCCAGGTCACGTGCTGGGGATTCTGCCCTGACACCCAGAATGGGCATTATCCCGACCGAACCAAGCAGGGTAACACCCGGGGAAGGGTCCCGTAGAATATAAAGCATTCTGCACCAACGTAGGGATGTTGTGGTGACCCTTAGGCTTTCTTCTCGGTTGGGATTCCTAGAATAGGGTCTCTCAGTGAGAGATAAAGTGGGCAAGAGGTAGAAGACCAGTGCCAACAACAGGGAAGAGACCAAGACATACGCCTTTCCCTTTGCAACTTGGATGGCCTCCGAGGTGTCGTCAGGGGGCACCACCTTCCAGAAACATCTCTGTGTGGTGCTGCCTGAGCACGGGCTGGGAATTCCACAGACATAAGTCCCAGCCCAGACTCTGCCAAGTTCAGTGGCTTGAGCAAGTGGCTTCAGCCCACCAGGTCTGAGAATGAGACCTGAACAGAATGAGATGAGAATCATAACAGTATGCACATCACAGCGTTATTGTGAAAATCTAGCGTCCCAAGAGCCTGCCAAGTGGCCGCCACCTACTAAATCCACTCTTGCCAAGAATGTGACAGGAAAGAAAAAGGCAGGTGGGTCAACTCATTGCTGAAGACCAACATCTCCTTTAAAGCCAAATAATAATGGGATCCAAATAACATTTGGGGTGGAGGGAGAAAGCTTCCATTGGTCTTAAGTTGTCCTAGCCACAGTCTATGTCGCAGATCTATTTATAGACAGGGTCATTGTGAGCCTTTGCAAAGGATTTTGGCATCAACAATTTTTCCTGGAGGCTCTGGGCCCACTGCATGAAGCCACCTAGCTCCCCGTGGAAGTTTTTTCCTCTTAAGCTTGAAGCAAATCAGCATAGCTGGTACAGTCCGTTCAATTGACTTTCAAAGGAAGGCTTCACATGAGGAAGTTAATGGAGCTTAAGTGCATTTCATGGTGGGAACAGAGAGGGTCTCCCACCCCCAAGTAATTAGATGAAATCAGCACAATTTCCATTTCAACCCTTGGTTCCTGCTGATCAGCCCCTCATGAGGCTTCCAAGTAGCCAGCTGCAGGCTGAACTTAAAATATTCCATACATATGGAGAAATACCCTCTCTGACCTGTTTCTGAAGGGTATGTATAGGAGGAAATGTAAACCTCTGATAAGGAATAAAGGATTACTTGGACCCGTATATGCTAAGTGCCAAGCCAGACAGATGGGCAAACATCTGATTTTATGAGACTGATTGATTGTAAATAATGGAACATTGCTGTCTGAGAAGATTGAAAATAAATTTGATAAAAGGCCAAGAAGACTGAAAACAGAAACTGCTATCTTCATGCAGTGTAAGAGCTCCCAGATTCCTCCAGGCCTCCTTCGGCTTCTCTGAAATTGAAGGATTTGATATGACAAATTCTCCTGTCACATAGATGCCCTCCCTGAAAGGAATTTGCTTTGCATTCAAGAAAAATACGTAACGATCAGTAAACCTCCCAAGTCTCCTCAAGGCTGCAAGAATAAAACTGGATGCATTAATGAAGTGCCATTTTAAATTGGACTTTTGGCCAGGCCCAGTGGCTCATGCCTGTAATCCTAGCACTTTGGGAGGCCGAGGCAGGCGGATCACGAGGTCAAGAGATCGAGACCATGTTGGCCAACATGGTGAAACCTCGTCTCTGCTAAATATACAAAAATCAGCTGGGCGTGGTAGCGGATGCCTATGGTTCCAGCTACTCAGGAGGCTGAGGCAGGAGAATCACTTGAACCTGGGAGCTGGAGGTTGCAGTGAGCCAAGATCGCACCACTGCACTCCAGCCTGGTGACAGAGTGAGACTCTGTCTCAAAAAGCAAAAATTTAAAAAAATAAAATAAAATGGGCTTTTACATTTCGAACTGCTTACAACTGACACTGTTACATTTAAAATGACACATCAAGGGGTCAGAGCAAAAAGCTAAGTCCTAAATGGTATAAAATGACATCAAATATTATAGGGATTTTTAAGTGTGAAAAACACTCAAAATGATTCAGAATACACAAGAGTAAAGTTTTTCCCCAGTAATGCATCAAACATAGACCAGGAAGGTTATTTTTAGTTATAGCTAAAAGCTTAGGAAGCCAATTTTCTTCCTTTCCTTCTTTTTGGCTAGGGTTGATAGAGCTTTTATATGGTTTCTTCCAAGCTTTATGTGTGTGTTTTCATAAAAAGATTTAAATTTACATACTTGTATACACTATTTTCCACCTCCATTCTTCCCTCATCAAAAGTAATGGGATCTATGCTTTTTATTTGGTTAAGAGACCTTGGCTGTTTTAAAAATACGTCTGCAGTTAAACACCACTTTCAACTAGCGAAAGAAAATAGCTGTGGGAAAGAGAAGGCAATTGAGACTGGGTTTCATTAACACATTAGGCAATCGCATTTTTTCGTTATTTAGAAGGCTGCTTTACCTCTTCTGAAAATACAGACTATGACCAAACATAGGCCAACTGCTCACTCCATCTCCTCTTTGCTTCTGAGACCTCTTACCTTGTTGGCCTTTAAGATCCATCTTTCTTCCTCTAATTAAACAGTGCCATTATAGTGATCTTTTTCATTGGTATGGCACTGAGACTTATCAAATCCACATGTTAATCCCAGTAACAACAGCAAATACACACATAGCAATTCCCATGTGTTAAGCACTTTCTAAAGAGTTTCATATACACTAACTCATGAAATCATATGTTCTATCATCTATTCCTCACAATAATCCTATAGGGGTTAGTATGTAGGGTGCCTAAATCCTGCCTTCCTTCCTATTGGACTCCAGTTTTGTTTTCTGGGTTTTTTTTTTTTTTTTTTTTGGAGACAGGGCCTCAACTCTGTCACCCAGGCTGGAGTGCAATGGCATGACCTCGGCTCACTGCAACCTCCGCCTCCCGGGTTCAAGTGATCCTCTGCCTCAGCCTCCCACGTAACTGGGACTACAGGCATGCACCACCCATGCCCAGCGAATTTTTTGTGTTTTTAGTAGAGATGGGGTTTCACCATGTTGTCCTGGCTGGTCTCGAACTTCTGATCTGAAAGTGATCCACCCAGCTCAGCCTCCCAAAGTGCTGGGATTACAGGCGTGAGCCACCAAGCCTGGCCTGAACTTCTGTTTTCTTAAAGTTGCACCATCTTTCACGTGGCTGTTACTCCAGGGCGGGATGTCCCAGGAGGCGAGTCATTATTGGTCTAAGCTAATTAAGCAGGCCTACAAGGTACAAGTCAGTGACACAACTCTGGCCAATGACATGTGAGAAAAACCTTGCTGATTGTGGAGAGGAAGAAGTTGGCTCATGAGAGTGACATTTTTCTGGCCAGGCGTGGGGGCTCATGCCTGTAATTCCAACACTTTGGGAGGGCGAGGCAAGCGGATCACTTGAGGTCGGGAGTTTGAGACCAGCCTGACCAACACGGAGAAACCCCGTCTCTATTAAAAATACAGAATTAGCCGGGCATGGTGGTGCACGCCTGTAATCCAAGCTACTCAGGAGGCTGAGGTGGGAGAATCGCTTGAACCCAGGAGGCGGAGGTTGCAGTGAGCTGAGATCACACCATTCACTCCAGCCTGGACAACAAGAGTGAAAAAAAAAAAAAAGAGAATGACGTTTTCTGTTGTTTATAAAAGCCACACCAAAATAATCTCTCCCTCTTTCAGATCTTGTTGGGTCTGGAGTTGACACCTGGAACTGCTGCAGCCTTTTTGCAACCATGAAGGAATCTAGCCTTAGAACAATGGTATCACAAAGATGGAATGCCGAGCCAAGAGAATCACCAAGGGGGGACCCAGATCCCTGATTATCCCGTGCCTGGAGCTACGATCACCTCCGCTTTCTTGCCTCATGTGATAATACATTTCCTCACTGTTTGAAATTCGTTGAGTCCAGTTTTCTCTTACTTGTAGCAGAAGGCATTCTTAATAATATAATTGAGACTACTTTGCAGATGAAGAAAGAGACGAAGAGGGCAAATGACACCTACAGTCACACCACTGGTAAATATATTAAGAACATGCAGATATTAGGGACTAAAGTTTATACACAATTAAAAGGAGTGTATAGGAGTTTAGGACATGCCACCCCAAAATACGCTGCTTTGGTATATAGACTACTTTGAGCTGGAGGAACTTGAAAAACAGCACATGCAGAGAGTGGCTTTCTCTGGATTCCCTTTATCTGCCTAAAGACAGAACCTCCAAAAGGAGCTCAGTTGTCATCAGTACCCCCACCCCTGGGAGTTTCATCAACCAAGGAAAATTAACTCTTATCACAGGAGAGGAGACTGGAGGTGACATCACACCCAAGGTTTGTCACAAGCTATCACTTGTTCTAAGGGTCTATTCATCTTTCCCCAACATCATTTTCTTTCCCCTAAATTGCCTACATCCCCCCCTCCCTGCTTTCCCCAAAAAGAGGGTACATAAACCTTCTAAATCTCACTGTTTTAAGCGGTATTCCTTTTTTTCCTATGATGTCCCTGTGCACTTAAAAAATTTGTGTACCCTTTCTCCTGTTAATCTGCCTGTTGTCAGTTTATTTCATAGACCCAGTTACTAAACCTTGGAAGTCAGAGGGAAAGTCTTCTCCCTCCTCCCTCCCAAAGGACTTCCAAACACATTTTATAAATTATATGTACATATACTGTCATAGTCACATATACACACCATGACTAAAGTTATGGTTCAGTTCACCAACTAGAGTTCAATATAAATTTCTGATTCCTACTCCCGATGATTGCTAGATTTTGAGTGTAATGTAAGAGAGATGTCACTCACAGTGTCACGAGACACATAGAAAGGCAAATATATCTTTTTTCTTACACACTAATTTTTGACTATAATAGTGCATCTTTAAAAACCAAATGATTAGCCATGACATTCAAAGTATAAACAACTTGTTATTAATTTTTAACACTTCTTTTCTCATGTAATCATGAGCCATTAACTTCTGGATGCCAGCAGTTTGGAATTTTCTATCTACAAGGAGACATCATGCAAGACAGAATGCCAAGTTGGCTCAGCCCTAAAGAGAAGGCTTCATGACATACACACATTGTAAATGGCATGTGGAGAAGGCATCTGCACCAAAGTATGCAGAGAATAGGATTCAGAACACAGTTCACATTGAATGATAAATCATTGAGTCTTAGGAAAGTGAATAAGTTCATTTTTGATGACCACAAATCATTAAGTATCTCCAGCACAGAGTGAATCCTCCATCCCATGCATTTTCTTAGCTCCCCTTTGCAAGCCTTTCCCGAGATGTTTCCAAGACTGGGCCTCACTCTGTCACCGTCTGTGGACAATAAACCCCTGGCAGTAGTGTAAATAGGCTGCGCTGAAGTCAAAGCCCACAGCCTCAGTTTCTAGTTTCTCGACCTTACTCAATTACCAGCCTTACTCATATTACCATATGAGTAAGGTCAAGAAACTAGAAACTGAGGGACTGTGGGCTTTGAATTCAGCAGAGCCCATTTACACTACTATCTATAGGAGGAATCTCCTTTCTGCAGCCTGCTAGTTTTTGTATAATGAGTCTTGCATTACAAGCATGCTCCTGGCTTCTCCCCAGACCCTCACACCCCTCTGGGAACAGGCAGGAATTCTGATTGCTGCATTTGCAAACAGGAACAAAGCATGCCTAGCTCTCCCCTTTTCCTCTTGGGAGCCAGCTGGCCATAGGGAGTTCCCGGTCACATCTGCTTCTTATCGAAGCAGAAAATTTTAGAGCATCAGACCCTCCAGACATGGGCTATGGTTTTCCAAAGCGACCTGTGCCTCCTAAGTCCATCTAACCCTGAGGTTGGGAATCATCCCTCTTGCCCACAGATGCAAGCCACATTGTATTATCTTCATCAGTTAAGAAAGGAAGCCTTTGACTCAGTTAAGTCAGAAAGTGGGTGAGGAAACCAATATTTATTGGGCTCCTTCAAATTCCAACGTGTTCTAAAATAAAGAGGTTTAACCATACCCTACTTTGTATAACACCTGACAACGTTCAAAGCACTTTCCCGTATCTTATCTCTTTGGGTCTCCTCAATGAACCTGGGAGGAAGGCAGGGTGTGGAAACGGAAACCCAGCTATTTCAAAGGAACTATCCAGGGTAACAGCCTGTATCATCTTCCGGATCTCTTTTGCTGGAGTCCCTTCATCTTCTGGGCTTCCTCCAGCTTTCTAAGGAGTGGAACAAGCTAAGTGATTTACCCAGGGTGAGGCAGCTGTGAAACCATGCCCCTTCTCCACCTTCTCCCACAAAGAAGTTTTGCCTTTTTAAAGGCTGCTTCCATATGCTATGTGTTGACTTTTATGCCATTCACTAAATAGCAGAGGTCTTCCTACAGTGAAATGAGCCCATAGCAGCTCCAAGAGGCGACTTCTGCACTAAATGAACAGACATCAGCATAAAGTAACGAAGAAATAAAGAATATATCATATTCTTTGAGTGGTGTTATAATCTCCCAGTAACTGACCACAAAGAAATCAAGATATGTGAACTGCCTAAGAATTCAAAATAATTATTTTACATTCAATGAACTTCAAAAAATACAGAGAAATATCCCAATGAGTCAGGAAAATAATAAATCATCAAAATTAGAAATTTAATAGATATTAAGATCATTTTTTAAAAATCAAATTCTGGAGCTGAAAAATACAATTAATACAAAATTCAATAGAAAATGTCAACAGCAAAGTTGATCAAGGAGAAAAAATCTGTGAACTGAGAGACAGGTTATTTGAAAATATGCAGCCAGCAAAGAAAGGAAAAAAGTGAAAAGGGATGAAGAAAGTTTCAGGATTTATGGGACAACATCAAAAGAACAAAAATATTTGAGTTACAGGAATTAAGGAAAAAGAAGAGGGGGCGAAGGGGTAGGCAAGCTTAAACAATAGCAGAAAACATGTCAATTCTAGGGAAAAACACCAATATCCATGTAAAAGAAAGTCAAAGTTCTCCAATTAGATTCAATCCAAACAAGACTATCCCAAGACATATTATAATCACACTGTCAAATATAAAGATAGGCCGGGCGTGGTGGCTCACGCTTATAATCCCAGCACTTTGGGAAGCTGAGGCAGGTAGATCACAAGGTCAGGAGTTTGAGACCAGCCTGACCAACATAGTGAAACCCTGTCTCTACTAAAATTACAAAAATTAGCTGGGTGTGGTGGTGTGCCTGTAATCCCAGATACTCAAGAGACTGAGGTAGGAGAATCACTTGAACCTGGGAGGCAGAGGTTGCAGTGAGCCAAAATCGTATCACCGTATCCAGCCTAGGTGAAAGTGCATATATGTATATATACATGTATGTGTGTGTGTGTGTATATATACACCTATATAAATCCCATATATATGTGTGTATATATACACACACACACACATATATACACACATATATGCACACATATACACACAGAGGATCCTAAAAGCAACAAGAGAAAACAGGAAGACAAAATATAAAGGACTTCCAACAAGGCTAGTGGCAGATTTCTCAGTAGAAACCTTCTAAGCCGTGAAGAGTGGGATGATATATTCAAAGTATTGCAGGAAAAAACATGTCAACCAAGAACACTGTACCTAGCAAGGCTGTACTTTAGAAACGGAGAGAAAGACTTTTCCAAACAAACAAAAGTTTAGTAAGTTCATCACCAACAGACCTGTCTTACAAGAAAGGTTAAAGAGAGTTCTTCAAGCTGAAAGAAGATGCTAATGGGTAACAGGAAAATATATGAGAGTATAAAACTCATTTGTAAAAGCAAGTAGTCAAATTCAGAATAGTCTAATATTATAATGGTGGTATGTAACATTTATCTTTAGTATGAAGGTTAAAAGAAAACTATTTAAAATAATAGCTATAATTTTTTAAGGGATATACAAGATGTAAACTGTGACATCAAAAACACAAAATGGGGAGGTGGATTAAAGGTATATAGAGTATTATCATGCAATCAAGGTTAAGTTATTTACAACTTAAAATAGCCCATTACAATATCTTTTATGTAAGCCTCAAGGCAATCACAAAGCAAAAATCTATGGTAGATACACAAAAGATAGAAAGTAAGGAATCAAAGCAAACCATGAGAGAAAATCATCTAATCATAAAGAAAGCAAGAGAGGAAGAAAAGAACAAAGGAACAACCAAAAAACAATCAACAAAATGGCAATAATACATCCTTACCTATCAATAATTACCTTGAGTGTAAATAGATTAAAATCTCCTATAAAAGACTGACTATACATCTGATAAGTTAATATCCAAAACATATAGGGAACTCAAACTACTCAATAGCATGAAAACAAGTCAATTAAAAAATGGGCAAAAGACCCGAATAGACATTTATCTAAAGATGACATACAAATGGCCCAAAGGGAAATGAGAAAATGCTCAACATTACGAATCATCAGGGAAAAGCAGATTAAAACCACAATGAACTGTCACCTCATACCTGTTAGAATGGCTATTATAAAAAAGACAAGCAATAAATGAGGATGAGGATGTGGAGAAAATAGAACCTTTGTACAGTTGGTGGGAATGTAAACTAGTATAGCCACTATAGAAAACAGTATAGAGTTTCCTCGGAAAATTAAAAATAGATTGGAAAGTATGTTCAATTATGGTAAACATAAAACAACACACACACACACACACAAATTAAAAATAGAATTACCCAAGGTAACTTAGTACATAAGATTTAGAAGCTTATGTACCCAGTAGTAAACCCACTACTGGGTACATATCCAAAGGATATGATAATGGTATGTCAAAGAAGCCAACCTAAGTGTTTATTGACAAATGAATGGATAAAGAAAGTGTTTTTATATATAATATATATGGTAGGATACTATTCAGTCTTTACAAAAAAGAGGAAATCCTG